GGGGGGGGGGGGGGAGGTGGAGAAGCGGGGACGGGATGGACGGCGGCGGGATCCGTTAATTCGGTGTTCTTGACTTTCGGATACGTCTGCTCTTTCGTTTAAAATGACTTCTCTTCCGCGCCTAACGCGACATTATCGAGGAATATTGAGAGGGAGATATTATTTATCTCATCACACACACGCGACATCCCGGTGACTCGAAAGCGTGCTCTCGAAATATCGTCTCCAGAGGCGCAAACAACGATAAATAAATTCACCTCATATCTCACGCGTCGTTCGACCGGGATATTCCTCTCGTCGCGAGAATTACTGAAGCTGCTTGAAAGCTCAAGAGACAGAAAGATATAAAAAAAAAAGAAATTTGGAAACCACAAAAAAATAAAAGATAAAATAAGAGGCGTGACGCGCCTCGCGAATCGCGCGTTACGAGAACGGGAAAGCTCGTCGTCGGAGCCGTCGGATACGGCGAGCCGCAGGATTAGTCTGAAGTATTCTCGTGTGCCGGTCGCGGTGACCTGTGGCTAGCTGTTGGCTTAGATACACGGGGCTTAGATTCGCCTTGGGTTCGGTTTAGGACCCTCACGAAGGCGATACGTCAACGTCATAATGGGGGTCATAAATCCGGCTCGCACGCGCCCAAAGCTCTTTCTCTCTCTTTCTCTCTCTCTCTCTCTCTCTCTCTCTCTCTCTCTCTCGCTTAGTCGTGGGGGTGCCCCGCACGCGGACCGCGCGCGCGTTCGCGGGACCGACCGTCCCATAATCCGTCCGCGTGTTCGTACCGCTAACTCTGCGCGCCCGTTAGTTTGCACGCTGACTTTACTGGATATTAGAGACTTCATCTGTCATATATGTATCGTTTTCGCCCATGAAGCGTCGTGAGAAAGCGCCTCCGGGGCCGAGCAAACACTGGGCGAGCCCGGATAAATACGGAAATCGCGCGTCACCCGCGTGGTTAGGTTTTGTCTGTCACCCTGGAGAAATCGCAATATTCGGTTTCCATGCAATCGATGGAAATGTGCATTATTGGGATTATTTGTGCATTATGTGCATTATTTGTATTTGCTGTGAGTAAAAAATAATAATAATAAATTTACTGCGAGTAAGAAATAATAGTAAAAAATAATTGAAATAAAAAGAATTTCTTATTTTATCGTGGAATCTTTTCGGGTGTGCTATTTAAAAGATTAAGAGCATATACCAATCTTTGAGTTCATTTTCAAGTGCCCTACGGATTATTCTACTGACTATAAAGCATTTGACAATCTTAAATAGAAAATTCGATTAAAAATGCCGCTCTTATAACAATTGCATGGGTTAATCGGTTCGCTTTTTGAGTGAAATTCGACTCTGTCACATGAAACAAATTGTTCATCGATCGAACGAAGTAAAAGTACCAACACCCGAATACATACATTGAACGTTCTTATTGTTTTTGGTTTTGAAATATGAATATATTTAAATTTTCAATATAAAAGATATATATATATATATATATATATATATATATATATATATATATATATGAAATATATATACACATATTTTATGCTGGAAACTTAAATGTTCGTATTTAAATACAAAAACAATAAGAATGTTCAAAATTAGGTACATGTTAAGTACTTTTGACTTTTTTTTATTATTCGTCGACGTTCTGGTGAGAAGACATAGTCATATTCATCATTACTGCGTGTATGTGACATTATTTACCGAGGGTCAATTCGAATTTTTCGATTGATTTAATATCTGTGCGAAGATTCTTGTAACAGGTGCGTTCGTGACAAAAGGGAGTTTATTAAAGCGCGCGATTTTGAGCAAACAATACCGTTTCCCTTTCCTTTTCCCGTCTAATCACAATTCATTTATTCTTCGATATTAATCGGCACAGCAATGCCGTACCATAGTGATAGCGCCTCGCATTAACGTTATTTCACACTAGGCGTTATCACAATTTTCGCCCAGGCGCCAGGATCTAGATTAGCCGAGGCTATATACGCGGGTAATTAACAGAAAGCACTTTGTAGAAATAATTTTAGCCTTATCGGGGCCACCGCGCTAGGAAAAGTAAATTTGCACTCCGCATTTTCTTTTTTATTCCGCACGCGGGCGCGTTTCATTCGCAATCAGTCGACGCGGTGGTGTTGCCACGCGAGCCGAGCCGAGCGGTGTCGTTCA